AGCCTTGGACGCGGTGCGTAGGGCGAAGTGAGGCGACGTGGCGTTCATCGGATGCGAGACCGTGGGGAGCAAGGGAAGGCTGGGATTGAGCCACGTCATCGCGTCTTGCATCAGATTTCGCAAATTGCACTCTCGACTTTAAAAATTCGTAACTTTCACATACGAGTGCCGTTTTCGACGTTCTTTATATCCACGCGTAGGCGGGAACGTACTCTACAACTTTCGTTTAGACTCTGTCGGCTAATTTTGACTTTATTTTAAAAGTTATATTTTTAAACAGGCGGGACAGGAAGGATTGGTCCGTTAAAAATTCATAACTTCTTCATCCGACGTCCGTTTTCGTCTATCTTTTTATCGTTATGCTACTATTAACGAGATCTTCGATTCGCATTTAGGTTGTGTCGGCTAAAAACCGCTCGATCTACTATTCGAACTTCGGGTTGTACACTGCTAAGCCGAAACTTCGAAAAATCATAACTTCCTCATACGAAGTCAGATTTGGGCGTTTCTTTTTATGGACGCTCTCGGTTTAAAACGTTTTCTCTACGACTTTCGTTTAGATCGCTAAGGCTAAAAATCGCTTTATCGTAAATTCACTATTTACGCTTCCCGGTGTCGTGCCGGTTCCGTCGCAAAACTTCGACGGGTCATAACTTCTTCGTTATAATTCGGATTTCGGCGTTCTTCATATCCCCGAAATCCTTGTTTCGACCACTACAACTTTATGTAAAGATATCGGGTTTATCTCACACTTTAATTTTGACGCTTATTTTTATTCCTTATTTATTACACATTTATAAATAAATAATAAGCATATAAATTCACATAATTCACATAATACTCAAATATTTCATCTTTATTACATCAAAAAAAAGTTACAATAGTTGATCTAGACTATTACATCGTCTAAAAATGTTTAGCCCCGAAATCTGGGCGTTACAGTTACGATCTTAAGCTCTCGTTTTTATCATACTTTCAGAGAATCCTCTAGCATATTGGCTTACGTTTTCTGTGCCTAGAAACGTAAATGTCCACTTGGATTATCCTAGGCTGAATTTCTTGTAACCTAGGCATAGGGTAGAAGTATCAGTTCGGAAAGTGTTATCACGATCCAAGTTGGTATCCAGATCTCCACCACAAACCCTAATTTTTCTTACATGTTATCGAAGAGTCGAACAAAGTATCAAACCTTCTAATTTTTGTTTCTGTTTCTGTAAGTATATTAGATTTCTGACTTCTGCTCTCCATTCTTACAACCTAAAATGTTTCAGTTTCAAATTTTTCGAGTCGATCAGGTAATATGTTTGTAGTATTTTTTTATGTAGTTGTATTTGTAGGAGCCAAACAAATTTGATTTGGATAGAAACTGAAGAACATAATGAAAACCAAAACAGGATACATTCAATTGGGTTCTTGGTTATACTTATTACGAAAAACAAAATCTCAGTTTTAATATTCTTTAAACATCTGGTTGCAAGTTGTCAACAGATTCAAATTAGTTTTAATTATGTTGAAAGTGACATAATTTTAATTTACATTTTTAATAGTATAAAAAGAATCAAGTTGCATTTAGTTCTTGGTTAGGCTTGAGACACAGAATGTCAATTTGTTTAACTATTTTAAGAAAAAAAACATATATTTCTCATCTCAGCTGGCACTTTTCAAGGATTAGAAAAAAAAATAAGTTTAATTATAAAAACAATAATAAGTTTGTGACATGTTGTAAACTAACAAATAATCAGTGAAACGATTTACATAATAGAGGTAAGGGAAGGAAGAAAGCATGGTTTCAATGTTACAGAATATGATGATCAGACAATAATGCTCTGTGATCCGGTAGGTAAATTATAATATTTTTGTTATTTTAACTTAATATATATTTATTTATGTTTTCAATGTTATTGTTGTTTGTTTCCAGTGTGAGAAAGAATACCATGTTGGCTGTTTAGGAGAAAGTGGGAGATGTGATCTGAAGGCACACAACAAACGTCAACATGTCTATAAAGTCACAGCCAACATCGAGATGAAGAAACAATGAAGGTATAACTTTTACCAAAAAGAATTATCTTTTATTTTTCAAGATGATGTTTGCGGGTTTCAGATATAATAATGAATTATAAATTTATAAAAATTTGATAATTTTAATTGGCAAATGACATTTATTAGGTTTATTTTGACAATGTTGACAAAGACAGTTGTTAACCAAGTTTCTTTTCTCCATATTAAACACCTTCTCATGTAACTTATTCACTTCCTGATCAAAGTGTAAAATGTTCCCATTAAGTCCTGCATTGGTTAAGTCGCTGAATGGGTAATGATGAATGATCATTTTACCCTTACCTTCAAACAAAGAAAAATGACTAACCCAACCACATAAGCCCTAATCATATAGAGCAAATCAGATTCAAGCAATAATTAAATTAGTTTTTAAAAGGACTTCAAATGACTTGGTGAAGATAACCACATGAGCATTGTATTGTCATTAACTCATGTTAATGATTGCACTGCTTCAAAATGATTTGGTGCTCTTTCATAGTTGGTTGTTGTTGATTGGTTTTTTTTTTCATATAGGCCTATCTTGATGATCAATTCACATAACTTCAGAAGGTAAGTTGCAAGATTAGAGCAACCTTGACTTTGTAGTTAAAATGGTGAATGTATGCAATATTTGTTTTGTAATATTTATTTTTAAATGCCCCCCCCCCCCCCCCCCCCCCCCATGCGAAGCAGGGATACTTTCCTAGTTGTTATTCAATTGAATTTATATTATAATTGTGATGACGGTTTCAAGCAAAGCATTATTACACATAACTCGAGAGTCGAGTCAAAGAATTTTACTAGAAAAAATGTTGTGATCCTCTTTATGGCTAATATGATTTTACTAAATATATTTGATATTTTTCATCATTACAAGTTTAAGATCTAAGATCCGTAGTTTTGTAATTCTTTCTATTGTTTTTGTAATTCTATCTTGCTTCTTATTAGTGCTCTAAAAATATATCTTAATGTTCCAAATATAAATAAATAATTAGGTGTAAGACTCATGTATTACATGGGTTAATTAAAAAATATATATAAATGTCTAAATATTCAAGAACTTTGGATTTATAAGAAAATAAGAAAAATAATGAATTATTAAAATTGATTTTTTTATCTTTTAAATTTAAATAAATAAACAAAATAAACTAATGAACTTTAATTTGAGAATTTTAAAATAAGAAGGTAAGTCCATTAATGAAATTGATATTCATTTATTACTACATTTATTGTAATTATTACATTAAAATATTATATAGAATTTATTAAAATAGAAAACCCATAAAATGACATGTGGAAAAGAAATTAATCAAAATAACCACAAAATGATATTTGACAAATTGAATGAGAGTGTGACATGTGACAAAAAAACCTTCATTTATTAGAGTAGAAATCTATGTTTTATTTTTGATGATGAGAAAAATCCTTGTGTTAGATTGTTTTCAAAATCAATCAAAAGATAACATCCAAACTTCAATTTATTTGTATAAATCTAATTTTAGCTTTTATGTGATTTGATCCATAATAATTTCATTGAATTTTTTGAAATTAATATCTTTCCATCAATAATTAATATTAAAAATTAGAATAGTCAATAAATTCTTTAGGCATTAATAGTATTCATTTTGAAATTAATAGACTGCGGGACCTTTGGTTAGCAAACATAAAACATTCGATCTCTAAATTAACTAACGTAGAATCTTCAGTCTCCAAATCAAAAAACATTCAACCATTTGTGATACAGTCCATCCAAGTCAACAAAAGTTGAACCTTTGCTCTCGAGCAACGCGAAACAATTTATTATACAATTTCATCCAAATTAACAATATCAAAACATTTTTGTTTCCAAATTAGCAAAAAGCATGACATGTTAAATTATGTCCTTTAAACCAATTTATGGAGTGATTATTGTTGTGTAAATCTATTAGTTATTATCAATTTATGGAGGGTTTTATCAGCCAATAAGCATGACATGTTAAATTATGTCCTTTGAACCAATCTAATCACTGAAAAGATAAAATAGGAAATAAAATATTAAATACTAACTTGCTTTGTTTCCTTGCAAGGTTTTGTGAATTAAGGGCTAAAGGTGACAAATGCTGGAAAGGGTTAAAATGTAGCTGAAAGTTGGCTGAGGACTAAAGTTGTCAAGGTTCTGTGATTCACTTCGTTCTTTCTCTTATTTTATTACATTCTTATTTTCTGTTAGTGTTCTTCATTTTAGGGTTTAATAAGAATCATAGTTTGTTTCTTTTACTTCGTAACAGATACTAAGGTGTTGTTTGTTTATTTGGAAAAAAACATCTTCAAACCTCTTATTGCTGCGCAGCGCAGCAGACGCGCAACACTTTTCATCTCGTAGCTGTTTGTTTTTCAGAAGTCTTCGGATTAAAAAACCACTGTGCGTGTTCTTCTTGGCGCGACACTTTATTTGTCTCTTCCAACCTCCTCTTCTTCTTTTTTTCTTGCTAAAATATTGATTATATATTGCTAAAATCTTATTTCACATTTTTTTTTTTTTTGCTGAAATTTTTTTATATTGAATAATAATAATTTGTTGATGAAATATCATTATTTTATGATAAAATATATTTATTTTTTGTTAAAAATATCATTATTTTTTACTGAAATATCATAAACTATTGCCGAAATGTCATAAATTATTAAATTTTCGGTATTAAAAAACTATTTTCAGATTATAAAGTCAGTTTATTTTAATTTTTTAATATCTACAGCAACATGCAGATATTAAAAAAACAAACACGTTTCTTATTATAGTCTGCAGCCGTTTGGTCCACCTCTTCTACTGCAGAGAGTTGCAGAGGTAGTCCGCAGACTTTATGGATTTTTGCTTCAAAAAAACAAACAGCACCTACGATGTATTTGTTTAGGGTTTAGGGTTAAATTGCAATTAAAGGATTCAACCATGGCTTATTTTAAAATGCCAAAAATCCAATGCTTGTATATTGAATATTTATAATCAGATAAAAATACCAACACATGTTTAAATTTTCATATACAATCTACAACATTTAAATATCAACGACCAGAATCACAATGATGGATCCGTGAAGTAGGCAGTAATAGCCTTCAAGTTGCCATTTAGAAAGTTCTTTTCAACCTGAAAAATCAATCATACACAATTATTATCACTACATATATTCATTCAATCATATACAAAAGTAAAGCACCTCAAGTTTCCATGGAGGATTAGCAGAAAGTGACAGCTCAGCTAGTTGGTTGATGTCAACATTTCTTGGAAGAAACATAACGATTCTTGGAGCTATTTGTTTCGCCACATTGAAGAGAAATTGTCTAAAATAAGTCAATAAAAAGTACATTAGTATTTCAATTTTGAAGCATTTAAATATAAAATATAAAGCAAATGGCAATAAAGTGAAACCCGTTATGTGGCTTGAGCATAGTGATGATGTCAAAGTTTCTTGCTTTAGCATAGTGGGGCCCACCCCAGGGTGGAGACAAGAACACAGTGTCTGCCTATAGGAAATGTATTAAAAGGTTAGATGCAAAAAAAAAAAAAAAATAGCAATGTAAATATTACACTTTGGTACCTTCAAGTTTTGGGCTAAAATGAAAGAGTCGCCTGTTATAAATTCTATAAGATGTTTGACTCCATAAATGGATGCATTATGTTGAGCATACTCGATCTTCTTTGGATCAATATCAATTGCAATAGTGTGGGTGCTGCTGAAGAAATGAAGTCAAACTCAAGAAATGTTATTAAATTTTTATAGAAATTAATTATAGCGTTTCACTTTATTTTTTCTAATAGGAATATAACAACCAAATTTGCTAATGTTAAAGAAACAATTAAATATGAAATCATCAAAAACAAAAAAAAAACATACCAAATTTGACAGATTTTCAATTGCTATGTCAACAATTACTTTTTATCTATGGAAGTACATTGCTATTTATGGAAAGGGTATAAAGATTTATTAAGAAAGTGAGTAAAATTGAACTTACTTTGATGCAAATCGGATTGCATTCCCACCAACTCCAGTAAAACAGTCAACAATGATTCCATTCCGACATCGGAATGCATGATGCCTTGCTATGCATTCCGGAGTTGCAGAAAACCAACCTTCTTCATCCATTTTTATTCCCTCATCATATTTTGAAAAAAGCAAGTACCTTTGACACCAATACTTGCTAATAATTGGATCCATTGACACCTCAATTTCAACCTCTGTGGAAAAAAAAAAAAAAAAAAAAAAAAAAAAAAAAAAAAAAGTGCTAAATGCAAGAAATAACTACATTTTTTTTCCATTTGTTTGTGTATTATAAATAGCATATTAGAATTCTACTTTAATTTCTTTCTACGGTTAGTTTCATAAAAGGCCTTATATTTTGTGTTTTTTCCAGATTAAACCTCATCTTTCTTTTTCGTGAAAAAGACCTTGTATTTTTCATTTTTTCTGAAAAAAACCCCTCAACCTTCTAACTGTTCCCAAATAAACCCTCAAGTTTTTTAGTTTTTCTTGAAAAAGCCCTCACATTTTACAAGTTTTCTGTTTCTTCGGAAAAAAAATGACTAAAAGGGCCAGATGGGAAAAAAATAAATAAAAATGCAACATCTTTTTCAAGAAAAACTAAAGAAAAGGTTTAATCCGGAAAAGACACAAAATATAAGGTCTATTATGAGATTAACCCTTCTTTCTATTACAGTAGTTTCAGTTTATTTCTTATTATATCATAACACTGCCTATAAAGGTGTGGCATTTTTTTGTCATTTTGTCCCCTTAATCTGGTTTAAAAGTTAATTACATGCTTAGTAAAAGAAACTTTATTGTCAACAAATGATCTCTTGTGTGCCTTTGTTCGTTTCACTTTCTTTTTTCTTTTGTAAAGAACATCATTAGCTTCAGTATACAACTTCTTTGGTGTGAGATGAATATTTCCATCATCTTCTTTGCTACTCAAAAGTTCATTGAATTTATCATCAGAAAAAGTAGTTGAAAGCCTACAATCACATTAAAAGTTCAAGAAATGTGAGTTTTTTTTAGTGTAGATTTGATTTGTAGAGTGTTTTTGGAAAATAAAGAAATTAAAGATAACAAAAGTTCATTAAAACCCAAATATAAGAATTTAATTATTTTAAAAAAAATGGTTTCGGACAGTATAAATAAATACCTGCAAGTTGGATCCAGTTCTGAGGTAACATCACTGCTTAATTCATTGAATAATGCATCATCATGTTGCAAAACACCTGAATTTTCCTCTTTGATATCATTTTTAATAGCATCAGCTTCATCATCTATTTTAAACACCATTTCTTTCAACTCATTTAACACATAAACAGAATCTAAGTATGCCATTTCTGGAGGTTGTTCCCATGTTGACTCATGTGTTCTACTATTGTAATAGTAGTTTCTTTCATAAAACTCATCCCAATATGTCATCCAATCTCCAGATTCATCATTTCTTCCACTATCAATTGTATCACAACAATGATCAATCATTTCATCTTTTGGATTCTCCCTTTTGTCATCAACAATCATATCACTACAAGTTACACCATTTACATGTTCTGGAGTAGCTTCCATTTGCATGTCATCTTTTGTGAGAATAGAACTATTTAATGAAGCTTCATCTATGGTTTCTTCATAAGTATACATAACTTTCTTGTTGCCATCCTTTCTATTTCCTCTAACCTTTACATTTCTCTTCTGGAAAAACCAATTTAAGCATCATTGTAAAGAAAAGAGAGAGTAGTTAGTGTTAATAAGTAATAACCATTCCTACATGGATATAAAGAGAGAATTGTGAGCCCCTTATAAGCCTTAAGTAGTGGACTACCAATAACTTTACTTAGTGATTAACCTTGTATCATGTCAACAAGCTAACTAATTACAAATTGAAAAAAAAAATGCATCATGAAACCAAATTTAACAAAGAAAGATTCAAAATCAGTGTGTGTAACAAGTCTCTTCACCACAAATTCAAAAAATTTGGTAAACCTTTTCACCTTTGTGGTTTGAATATGGTTATGAATGCCTCCGAGTTAAGGAAATGTGATTGCACTGTCTCCTAGATAGTGTCCAACAGCCACCAGACCAAATTGTAACAAAGGAAACAACAGATCATTCTAAAAAAGCCCCATGAATTGATTGATTGATTTAACCACAAAGAAACAAAAAGAATCATGCAAAAAAAATATATACCTTACCTCCTTGTTTGTGCAGAAGGAAAGAGGAAGCCCTAGTTCATTCATCTGCCTAGACAATTCAGTCTCAACAGATACACAACTAGTTTCTGAAACACACAACAAGATATAATCATGAAATTGCATTTTTGTTAGAACATAACAAGGATAAAATCCCAACATTGTATCAAAACAGAACCTGTCCTGCTTGAGGAAATGACTTCATTTTTGGCTGTTTCCTGTATGACAAAAGTGTAAAGTTCCATTAACTTCTATATTCAAGAAATATCGACCTTACTAAGAAATGGAGGGATTAAATGAAGAAACAAACTTACTTTACAATCTAGATAAGTTGAATCATATGGCATCCCGGTATAAAGATCGACCCTGTAACAACACAGATAACAATTAGGCATAAATATCGACATAACCAAGTTTCCACCATGTATTGGAAGCATGAAATTAAAAATACCCTTTTCATCCATCAAATTCGTTAGGTGAAACACTAAATCATACCAAAAGTGGGATTTCGGTGAGCTTAAGGAGGGAGCCAAGTGCTATAATTGCTGGAGAGTCTTCAAGTTCGCCTTTATGATCGTCGTCTGCCATAAGTTGGAGAATTGGGTGTTCTGTATCAAGTAATCGATGTTATACAAAGAAGAAAAGAAAAAAAGGGATGATATATAGGGAGAAATTCGTCTTTTATGTTCCATCTAAAACCTCAATAAAACCCTACGGCCTCTGCACCACGTTGGATGCAGATACATGGTCATTATTTTACAGCATAAGAAATTAGAGCAAGTTAAACAGAGGCAAATATGGTTTGGGATAATCGTTTCGTCTATAATTTTTGTTTTAAATTTGCATAGTCCTCAAAATATGTTTTTTGTGGTGCATTTGGTCTTCTCCGGTAGAAATTGAGTAAACTAACATTTATAAACGAATTTATTTATAGAAGTAACTTTTTTTTTTTAGAAATGACCCCTTTCTCCGGAATGTCTTATTTTCGAGCACGTAACATCATTCCGGAGTTGGATCGTCCAAAGTATTTCGGAATACGATATTCCAGAGTATTTATTTTTGTTCCGAAGTTGTTGGTGGTTGATAGAAATTAGGTCTGGAATCTGACACCCAGTACATTTCAGACTGAAAAAATGAATTTTAGACTGAAAAGTGTAGTCCAGAATGGCCGTACATCCCGAAGTGATATTCCAGAGAGTTAAAATTAGAGTATTTGTGTGTATATGTTCCATATATTTAACATATTTATGTGTTTGATACTTTCCTTACACGTTCCAGAATAAGTATGTATACAAGATTTTTTCGAGTGTCAGTTTCTACTGGAGGGTAATGACAGCATATCGAGGGATCTATGCAATATATTGCTCCAGACTACACATGTTTTGATGTAGATATAAGAAATGATATCAACTCCGTTGGGCTAATTACGTTGGTTGATTCACTAATCAAATATGTTTATCTTTTCAATGTCCTAGATGAAATGTAGTTATACATATTCTTGACGATAGTGATGTCAGATATTTTCTTAATTTTGTTATTAGTATGTCTCCCAACACAGTAAAATTGTTTGTCGTTAATAATATTATGGAAAGTGGTATTCATCGATTTGTCAGGGAAAATCATTCTGATGGAAATGGGTCTTCTAGTGCTGGCAGTAACCAAATTTGTAATTTATTACATATAAAAGCCAGCCATCTTCCTTCTTATAAATACCCTACAGATGGGGGTGAGTTTAGGTATAAAGGTAAGGCTATTGTTGATGCTTCTCAAAATGTAACGCCCCGATTCCCAGGTATTGTTTAAATAAGAATTTAATTGGTTTCAAGGCCTACTCGACGAGTTGGTTGCCCTACTCATCGAGTAGCAACGGGTTTGATACGCGTGTTTAGTGACCTACTCGCCGAGTCCATGAAGGGACTCGACGAGTAGGAGCTGGCAGATGAAACCCTAAATCCCGGGGTTTTGCACCCTATTTTAAGGAGCCTCAGCCTCCTTTGGGCCTCTTTACAGTCTTTGAGAGCTCAGTGAAACCCTAATTCGTGTGGTACTCTTCTTGGTGTGATTTAAGCCTTGGAAAGAAGGTTGGCTAGGAGGGAAAAGCTTGAAGAGCAAAGGAGTTGAAGCAAGGAAGGTATGGGAAGCAGAACTTACCTCAGCTAGCATCTTCTGGAGGTATCAAGTTGCAATCTTTACTTCCCTTTCCTTCTGGATCTCTTTTCTTTTGGATGAGTTTTAGGGTTTTATGAATTTTGAGTTGAGATGGGGAGCTATGGGCTAGATCTGAAGTTGTAACTTCAGATCTGGACCCTTCCTAAGTCCTAGAGTCATAAAGTTGCGGGTTTGGGGGTGATTGAGACCCTCCTTGTGCATGTAACCCCATTGAGAGCTTAAAATTGCCATTAAGAGCCTTTTTAGCCATGCATACACGTAAAGTTTGCAACTTTACGTGAAAAGCATGCTCTAGAAGCTTGGATCTGTAATTTGGAGCCATTGCATGGCTTAAATGAGTCTGTATGGCTTAAGGGCTGAAGGAACTCGGCGAGTCGCAAGGTTGACTCGGCGAGTCGTATGAAGATGGCCTTGAACTCGACGAGTTGGATGAGCAACTCGGCGAGTCCGATGAAGATTGCCATAGACTTGGCGAGTTGTATGAACAACTCGGCTAGTCGGATGAGTTTTCTCCAGGATATGTATGCGTGTATATACGTCGAGTTGCAAGAAGGAAACTCGACGTGTGGCGTTAAAGTTTGATCGAGAATCGGAGGAACTCGACGAGTCACCTCGATGACTCGGCGTGTTGGAAAGTGCTTCAAGGAACTCGACGAGTAGCTGAGGGTACTCGGCGAGTTTAAGGTCAACATGGACTGTTGACCTTGACTGAGGACTTTGACTTTGACCAGGGGTTGACTAGTGGGTTATGGAATACCTTATAAGGTTAAGGACTTATGGGTATGATTATACTATGGTAATAGGTGGTGGAGTTTGTGGCAGTGATCTGAGGGTTGAAGTTTATCTACCGAGTCGACATCTGCAAGGTGAGTTATCCTCACTATATCAATAGGGTCTAAGGCACCAAAGCCGGCCCTTTTAGGTTGTTATCGTTATGGTATGCTACATGTGGATATGATCTGTTAGATCGGAATCAGGATAGACAGTATGTTATGCTTTTATGATCCGTAGGGATTGATATGTTAGTGACCTGTTAGGTCAGTGCTCTAGTTATGAGAAATTGATATGTTTGGTAATCAATGAGATAGATATGTTTGTTGTTTGTATATGCCAGTAGATGTTAGTTATGCGCACATGGTTATTTGTTTGTTGCTTGGGTTGAGGCGGTCCTGCTTTGTGCTGAAGGCCAACACATCCTATGAGCGGTTCGGGGAGACTGTAGGCCCACGTGGCGGTCCAGTCATGCCGAAGGCTTGGTAAGATTCAGTTGAACTGAAGCCCTGTAGGGCGGTCCAGTCAGGCCGATGGCCCAGTATGCATGATATTGATGATTATTACAGATAATATTATCAGTTATTGGTATATTTTGATATGTTAGAACAGCATGCTAGTGCTAGGCTAGGTATCTTCAGGAATCGCATGATAGACTTGCCTGATTATATGATGCCTACTAGCCTAGGGTTTTGTTTTATATGGAATTGACATCATTACTGTAGTCGTTAGTGTAGGCGTCACGGCAGCGTGTAATCAAGATCTTATAGCCTGAGAATGTTTGATCCAGTCTACGGATAGGATCGGATATTCGAAAGTCTATTGGGTCCAGTGTTATGTGCGACTAGCCTGCACTAGCACTACAGGGGTTGATGAAAGTTTCATGGATGTGTGGGTTGTGAGGAGCTGTGAGATCAGTTGGGGGATGGGCGATGATTCCCTAGGAGTAAGGGTTGAACGCATATTATGTTGATGATAGTGTTAGGGTGTTGTGGTGATACTTGAGACAAATATGGGTAGGTGTGGAAGGTAGTATGGGCCTGTACTACTGAAAGCACATGACCCATACGCATAGCAAGGAAGTCACAACCCCTAGGGTTTGTGGGCTTTGGTCTCCCGATATTATGTTATTTATCCGATGACTTGTATATATATTTCAGTATGGTGGTGACGAGACGTGTTGCTACTGGATCCAAATCAGGATCAGGATCAGGATCAGGATCAGGAGACGGAGGGTCAGAGGTGCCGATAGCACCTGAGCCCGTGGTACAGATAGGGACCGAGGAGTTGGATGCCAGGATCTGGGAGATTATGCACGACGAGATTGCTGCAGCGTTCCGAGCGCAGCTGCCAGAGATGTTTGGGTCGATTAAGACCGCGATGGTCAAGTACTTTGATGAGCAATATGCAGCTCTAGCAGAGACAGCTGCCGCTACAGCCACTTCGACTGTAACTGCAGCAGGGGTTGGAGGAGGAGCCAGCAGGGCTTTCCAGTACCGGGACTTCGATAATACGAAGCCCCCGACGTTTGATGGTACACAGGATACGATCAGGGCTATAAGGTGGTTATCTGATGTGGAGGGATGTTTCTTCACATGTTCATGTCCTGCGGACCAGAAGGTCAGGTGTGCCCTGAACTTGCTGAGGCTTGGGGCAAAGGACTGGTGGAGATTGACGACAGGGTCGTACACGGATGATCAGCGAGCTGCTGTTACTTGGGAGCAGTTCAGGGATATGTTCCGCACCCGCTACGTTCCGCGCGTTGAGCGGGAGCGGCTTGCTCAGGAGTTTTTGACATTGAGACAGGATGGGGAGTCTGTGATGGAGATTACCCATATGTTCACGGAGAGGGCTATGTTTTTCCCGGAGTTTGCTTCAGAGCAGTCCCAGATGACTCGTTATCTGAGTATGCTCAAGACTGATATTCGACAGTTTGTGTCGACACAGCGGTGTGATACCCTCCTGGATGTCTAGGAAGCCGCGAGGCGGCGTGAGTTGGAGATAGAGCTGCAGTTGAAGGAGCAGCGTCAGGCACCGGCACAGTCTCAGTCGGCGCCTAAGCGGTCTAAGACCGCTGATACTCGGACTGGGAATCAGCAGAGCCGCACTTGTGGAAAGTGTAGCAGGGGTCATTCGGGGGTTTTTCGAGCAGCAGGTGGGTGCCACAAATGTGGCAAGGAGGGGCACTATGCCAGGGACTGCCGTCAGTCCGCCCCTCCAGCAGATATGAGGATTTGTTACCATTGTCATCAGGTTGGTCATGTGAAGACCAACTGTCCGCAGCTCGCCGCCAAGCCGGCGCAGGGATCCGCACCGGCTACTTTGAGGATTGGGGATGGGAGGCCAGTTAAGGCGGAGCCTCCGAAGGCTCAGGGGTGCGCCTTCCAGCTCACGGCCGAGGAGGCCAAGGCAGCACCGGATGTGGTTGCTGGTATGTTTCTATTTTCTGTTTCAGTCATTTTATCTATGTTGTGCTTATCTTTGGTGCCTGTGTTTAGGTACGTTTTTAGTAAACTCTTTGCATGCATTGGTTTTATTTGACTCGGGGGCGAGTCGGTCGTTTGTATCTCAGACTTTCAGTAGAGAGTTCAGTGTGTCGGTAGATGAGCTTGAGTGTCCGTTGCGAGTTTTGATCGCCAACGAGCACGGGATTTCTGCTTCTTTAGTTTACCGGAGATGCGAGCTGGAGATTTTTGGGGTATCATTCCAGATAGATTTGATTCCTATTCCCATGGGGGAAGTATGTGTGATCGTAGGGATGGATTGGCTCAGCCGGTTTGTCGCCATGATCGACTGTGAGGGACAGCGAGTAGTAGTTCGAACCCCAAGTGGGGGAGAAGTGGTGGTATATGGTGAGGGCACCAGAGTAGGATCAGGGTTTTGTTCGGCCGCCAGGGCACGACAGTATATTCAGCACGGATGTGCAGGTTATTTAGCGTGTGTGGTGGACACGCGGGTCAGGGATCAGACTTCAGTTTCAGAGGTCCTGGTGGTTAGAGAGTTTGCTGACGTGTTTCCGGAGGAGTTACCTGGTGTGCCTCCGGAGAGGCAGGTGGAGTTCAGGATTGATCTGGTGCTGGGGGCGGCCCCTATCGCTAAGGCGCCGTACCGACTGGCACCGCCAGAGATGCAGGAGTTGTCATCTCAGTTGCAGGAACTACTGGGTAAGCAGTTTATTCGTCCGAGTAGTTCACCTTGGGGAGCACCGATCCTTTTCGTCAGGAAGAAGGACGGTTCGCACAGGATGTGCATTGACTATAGGGAGTTGAATAAGTTAACGGTGAAGAACCGTTATCCACTCCCGAGGATAGATGATCTTTTCGATCAACTGCAGGGTGCATCTTGGTTTTCCAAGATCGATTTGAGGTCCGGATATCACCAGGTCAGGGTGAGGGAGGAAGACGTGGAGAAGACCGCGTTTCAGACTCGTTATGGTCGTTACGAGTTCGTGGTGATGCCGTTTGGGCTCACCAACGCGCCAACAGTGTTCATGGATTTGATGAACCTGGTCTGCAGACCGATGCTCGATCGCTAGGTCATTGTGTTCATAGACGATATATTGGTGTATTCCAAGACCCGAGAGCAGCATGAGGAGCATCTCAGGGAGCTGCTGGAGGTTCTGCGGCGAGAACGGCTGTATGCTAAGTTCTCGAAGTGTGAGTTTTGGTGACGAGAGGTCCAGTTCCTCGGACATCTTGTTAACGAGCAAGGGATTTTGGTCGATCCGGCCAAGGTGGAGGCGGTTATGCAGTGGGAGACTCCGAGATCTCCCTCAGACATCAGGAGTTTCTTGGGTTTAGCAGGGTACTACCGGAGATTTATTCGAGATTTCTCCAAGATCGCAGTACCCCTCACTCGTCTTACGAGGAAGGCGGTGGATTTCCGGTGGGGCCCTGAGCAGCAGAGGGCGTTTGAGACCCTCCGACGATGTTTATGTGAGGCGCCAGTGTTGACGCTCCCCGAGGAAGTCGAGGATTTCATAGTATTTTGTGATGCGTCCATCACAGGTCTGGGGGCGGTCCTCATGCAGAAGGGACGGGTGATCGCCTATGCATCGCGACAGCTGAAGCCGCATGAGACGAGATACCCTACGCACGATCTTGAGTTGGGAGCAGTCGTTTTCGCTCTCAAGATTTGGAGGCGTTATCTATACGGGGTCTGATGTACTATATACACGGATCACAAGAGTTTGAGGCACATCATGGATCAGCCGAACCTGAACA